AAAAGTACCTTGAGATACTATAAGGCTAAAGACAAAGAGATGTGACCCCAGGGTTGAGATTAAGAAATTACAGGGCCAGCCAAAGAGCTCAGTGGATTAAAGTGCCTGTACAGGGGTGGGGAGTTCAATCCTGGCCCTGCTGAGCCAGCCCCACCCCCAGGGCATGATGAGACAGCAATTGAGACTGGGTGTGGTAGGATTACACACCTGTAATCCCAGCACTTGGGAGGCTAAAAACAGGAGGTTCACTACTACAAGTCTGATCTGTGTAATGAGACACTGTAGACCCTGGACTAAAATACATAAAAAAAAAGAAAAAAAGAAAAAACAAATTACAAGAGAATTACATTGAGACAAACACCCAAATATCCAAAGATGGATGCTACTCTCAAGAGATACCTCTCAAAAAAAAGAGACATATCCCTCAGATGCAACTGGAGGCGATACCCCAAAGTAAATGTATCAAACCCCTATGTGCAAACATCGCATTGAACGAGTAAATAAATCCGAAAGATACAATAGATATTGTGAAAGGAAATGGATCAAAAGGAAAAAAACAACTGAGGGAAAGGAGAAAAGAAAAAGGGGATAAAAGTATACATATACTTTTGTGTGTATATACATATATATATTATATGTACAATACATACATATATAATATATACATACATATGCATACACATACAAAAGATAGCAAAATAATTGTACTACTAATTTCATTGGTTTATTTATTTTATTTTATTTTTTATGGGGCTAGGGCTCGAACTCAGGACCTTGTGTATGCCAGGCAGGCGCTTATGCCACTGAGCTATATATCCTGGCCTTTATTGGTTTATTTAGAGGAGCAGCTAATGCTCAATTTTTTGACCAATTTCACACACTTATATCTGGTAATTTAAACAACTACTTTGAGATAACAATATGCAATATAACAACCATTGCTGATTTCCTATCATCTTATTTTCAAATTCTCTATCATTTCTAGGGTTTTTTAAAATTTTGTATTCTCATTAAAATTTTAAAAAAGGTGAGACCGGGCGTGGTGGTGCACGCCTGTCTGTAATCCCAGCTCTTTGGAGGCTGTAAACAGATGGATCACTACAAGTCCGATCTAGTAGTGAGACCCTGAACACCCTGTAGACCCTTCCCTAAGATACATAAATAAATAAATAAATAAATAAATAAATAAAATCTAAAAAAAGATATCCCCCAAAATATTTATTAACTAGAAAGGCAAAAATAATAACATTTTAGTGCCTAAATCCGACAGACACCTACTACACCAAGTGATCAAAGTAAACTGATCAAAGTAAACATCACACATAATAAGCTATATTAACATCTTGGACTTCACAAGATGTATTGAGGACACAAAGGTATCATTTGTGATATCTTGAACAAAAATGTCTATGTTCCCTCCAATCGTAAGAAAACACTGGACAAAGCTAAATTGTGGAATGTTCCACAGAAGGACTGATGAGCTCAATCCCCAGCACCTCTTCCCACTTAAAATAACTCATGAGTAGTCTTGAAAAGCGTCAAGGCCAGGGAAAACAATAAGAGACTGAGGAACTGTTGGGGACTGCAACAGACCAAGGAGAAACAGCTAAATGTAATATAGGACATTGGTCAGGACACTGGAATGAAGACAGAAGCCTCTCAGAAAAATCCAGTGAAAGTCAAACCATGTCAGAAGTATGTTATGTTTCTTGTTTCAGGTAACTGTACTATGGTTATGTAAAATATAAATATCAAGAGAAGCAGGATAAAGAATAAAAAAGAAACTCTGTGTTAGTGCTGCAACTTTTCTCTAAACCTAAAATTCATTTAAAATTTTAAAACATTTCTTAAAAAAGAAATAACTGTCCAAGATTACACATTTATCATCCTGCATATAAGAAAGTCAAGGGGCTGGTGAGATGGCTCTGTGGTCTAAAGCACCCACTTGGAACAAGCTTAGCAAAGCACAGGGACCACAGTTCAATCCCCCAGCACCACATGCCAGCCAGCCCCGCCCCCTGGTGGGCTGAGCTGGCCACACACACAAATAAAATTAAAAAAAAAAAAGAAAGTCAAGGATGACCATGAACTTCAAAAGAAGCTTTTAAAAAGCTGTAGGATAAAAATGAAAACGTACAGTACCAGTTGAGGAAACTATCAGAAATGTCTGGACCAGGGCTAGCCTGACAGCTCAGCAGACTAAAGCACCTGCTTAGGCATAGTGCAGTGGCTGGTTCGATCCCCAGTGTGCCCTGCAGGTGCCTGCCCCGCCCCCGGGTGTGAACTGAGATGGCGATTGAGACAGGGCACGGAGGCACACGCCTGTAATCCCAGCACTTTCTCAATAAAATTATGGAAAAACAAAACAAAGGGTGGTAGGAAGCACAGTTAGAACAGGGAACAAGGTCTGGAGCCTAGCAATTTCAGAGATGACTTTTGAGGTCTGAACGGTCCTACAGATAACCCACTATGACTGCTGGACTATATTGGAGTATTTCGCTGAATTCACGCACCAACGATATTTAAATGGCAATGGGAGGCTGTAAACAGGAGAATCACTACAAGCCCAATCTATGTAGAGACCCTGAACACCCTGTAGACCCTATTCTAAATACAGGAAAAAAAAAAAAGAAAGAAAAAAGAAAGTAAGAAATGCCTACACCAGAAATGTTTTGCAATTCAGATTTCCTCTGGATTTTATTTTATTTTACTTTATTTTTTTATTTATTTATTTTTTTGTATTTTAGGGAAGAGTCTATAGGGTGTTCAGGATTTCTTTTTTTTTCCCCATTAATTTTATTGTGAAACAGTAATGAGACAATTTCAAAACAGGATAATAGGACAGTTACAATAACTAATACATTGCATATTATTGTCTTCTAGTAGTTATTCATACTACAAGATGCAGACATGATACTCTGTCCAAACACTATTAGTATAAATCTTACTTCTCATCGAATTAAGAGAAAGTAGCTATATATCAAACCTAACCATTTTGTATATACAGCTACAAAATGGTCCTTCATTTATATCCCCCTTTTTCATTTAGTTTTGTCAGAGATGGGTATTGCATTGCCATTTAAATAATGTAGGTGCGTGAATTCAGCAAAATACTCTAATACAGTCCAGCAGTCATAGTGGGTTATCTGTAGGACCGTTCAGACCTCAAAAGTCATCTCTGAAATTGCTAGGCTCCAGACCTTGTTCCCTGTTCTAGCTGTGCTTCCTACCACCCTGTTTTGTTTTTCCATAATTTCATTGAGAAACAAATAGCAATGAGACAGTTTCAAATCAAATTAGTACGACAGTTTCAATAATTAACACATTGCATACTGTCTTCCTAGTGGTTATTTGTTGTACAAGATGCAGACATGACATCCTCTTTACAAACTCAGGGTTTCACTGCATAGATCGGACTCATAGTGATTCTCCTGTTTTCATCCTCCCAAGATCTGAGATTACAGATGGGTGCCACCACACCCAGTCTCAATTGCCCTCTCAGTGCGCCCCGGGGGCAGGCATGGCGGACACAGCAGGCCCAGGAATTGAACTCCAGGGCCCTGTGCCTGCTTGCAGGAGCTTTAATCCGCTGAGCTATTTGGCCAGCCCTCTCCTTTGGATTTTGGAATGTGACCTACCTTTGCAATGGGGCCAAAAATTTGTTCAGAATTTTATATACACTATACACTGTATATTTTACATACACTCCAGCAGATGGCCTTATACACATACACAGTATGTTTAGCGATTGTTAAAGTTTTACAATGTGCTTTCTCCCTCTGGGGTGATGCCTAAGAGTATCTAATCAAGGAATCCTTGGGATCTTCAGGTTACAGGTGCTCAACTTACATTTGTTGACTCCCAATCCAGCAGTTGCATTTTTCTCAGAATAACACATTCATGACTTTAAACTTGTAAGTTCCCAAACTTTACAAGGATAGTATCTTCGCAGTAAGAATGCATGATAGGGGCTGGTGAGATAGCTCAGTGGTCTAAAGCACCTACTTAGAACAAGCTTAGCAAAGCACAGGGACTGTAGTTCCATCACCCAGCACCACCCTGGTGGGCTGAGCTGGCCACACACACACACACACACACACACACACACAAATAAATAAATAAAATTAAAAAAAAAATACATGATAAAGAACAACACTTTGGGCGGATGCATGCCCCTGATTGACCACAGCAAGAAAAAAGCGGTGGGGTTTCCTGGCCCACCAGTCCACAAACCCTAAGCTCAGTTCTCGCAAAACATGGCTGTGCGGCTGATTTAGTATAGATGCTTACATCTAGGTCTTAGTTTTCTCTGCTACTGAAGCTGTAAACTAGACATCGATTCTCCAACTAACCAGCCCGGTTGCTTTTAATGAGAAAAAAAAAAAAAAAAAAAAAAATGGTGGTACATGAAAAGATCATGCAGTTAATCCAAAATTCAAATTTCAATATCCATATTAGCTGAATATAACTACCCTTTTATATCCACGCTGCAATACCAGAGTTAAGCAGCCAGATTTATACTCACAATGCACATAATAATAGATCTACAAAAAGCTTGCCGGCCCCTGAAGACCATTCTAAAGATAGTCTAACTACAGTAATAAATCACGCAGAAGAAACCTCCGATATATGGAATCTGAAATTATGACCTATAATAAGCCAGGCCCTGAAGAGGAAAGTGGCCCCCAAAGCCACCTCTGCAATCGCCTGTTAAAGTCAGCTGGGTCTGTCTGTCTAACCACGACATCCTTCTGGGAAGAAGGGCTGCAGCACAGTCAAGATTCTCAGTTGAGGGCCAGGCGGATGGCTCAGCAGCTCAAGTGCCTGCCTGGCAAGAGCAAGGTTCTGAGTTCAATCCCCGATACAAAAAAAAAAAAAAAAAAAAGACTCCCGCTTGGCATCGAGCTGATCCACCGCATGACTTTAAGAGGTCCTTCCCGCCTTCCCTGAGCCTCCAGTTACCACCCATCGTAAATGGCACTTATCGGGACAGCACTCACCTCGTGGGGCTGCAGGTGAAGGTGAGTGAAAGGACGCAAGGGAAAGAGTTACCGCCAGGCTCTGCACTCCGCCCGCGCCCAGCGGAGAGCGTGGTCCCGCCGCGACCCCAGGGACCCACTCCCCGGTGGTGCGCTCCTTAGGGACCTCAGGGCCGCGAGGAGGCCCGCGGGGCACTCACAGGCCCCGCCTAGTCCCACTGGCTTTCTGGCCTCGGTTTCCCACACTGGCGCTCGGGAGGCAGAGGAACACGCCAGCGTCCTCACGTGATTCGGCTTGCTGTGGCCCAAGCTCGGGCTCACACGAGCCGCGCCCCCAACCGCGAGCAGCCCCCAAAGGCGCAGTCCAGGAACTCTGCCGGTGTCTCCAAGGCAACCGCACCTGCGCCCAGACCTCCGCACCAGCCGGCCGCACGCCTGACAACAAAGCGCGTTCCCATTGGTTCGGTTGCCGGCTCTGCCAGCCAATCAGCGCGGTCGTACGGTCCTCCCGCTCGCCGTTTGGCCCACTCGATCCTGCAGGGGGCGCGCCTGAGGCGGGCGGGGCGCGCGCAGACGGCTGAACGTGGAGTTCCATAGCTCCAGAGTGTTGCTAAGGATCTCAACGCTCTAGCGCTCCAGGTGGAAGCTCGCGGTGTGACTTCCAGTAGTTCGCGGCTGCTGGTCCTAACAGTCGCTGACTGAGGGACTGTGTGTTCTCGTTATGCTGTGAACAAGTGTTCTGAAAGGAGTAGAAATCTGGGGAACACTTAGACGGAACTAAGTGCAGAAGAGCTTTTCTGGTTCATTCAGTCACCCTCCACCCAAAAAGGGTCGAGGCCAAACAGGCACAAACGGTTGAGACAATAAGACCCCATAAATGAATGGGGAGAGGGGTCTAGAATTCGCCTTGAAAAACAAGACGCCAGACTTAAGGGCTTCTTTTTTTTTTTTTTTTTTTCATATTTTTATTTAGCAGCACAATTCTTAATATCAAATGTAGAGATACAGATTTGAGACAAAAGCCTGATGTCCCAAGAGAGCAGGGAACA